CGGACCCGGACCGTTGAAACTTGAAGGTACAGGGAGTTGGCTGGGAACATTGATGGTAGCTAACATAGTAGGCTCAGCCGCGATGAAGTCTCTGAATACTTTTTTTTCTGAATAATCGCCTTTGTGAAATTATACGATGTTCTATTCGGACACAGTGAAGATGGCTGACAGAAAAAAATCGCTCCCAATCGGAGCTATTACTGAGGAGAGCTAAGCTTTCAGAGAAAAAGGATAATCCGAAGTATTATTTATGCATAGCAGATTTCTCACAGGAAGGAGGAGCGCCTGGCATTACCCGGGCGGCGCGACTGGTTCACATACAACTCAACACTGAAATGTTTGGTAAACGTGTTACAGGAAAGGCGATGCATGTCATACAACGACGAAAATGCGAAGTAATGTAAAGACCTTCTAACATCTTGTTTAAACTGTTGCACATGATACTTAAATACATCTAACGTATCACTTAAGCGAGGGTTCCATAGATATACAGAATGACGACTCAATGGAACTACACGAAAACTATATTTACGTAGATGCAGTTTATTGGTCGTTGTACTGATTTGAGCTTGAAATGCTTCGAGGGTTCTTCATTTTCCTGTGTGAGTCAGTTGGGTGCTCTCAAACCCTTGCTCTAATGCTTCGAAGCGGCCCCTCCCCTGAAACTAAAGGGTAGCGTAGTCGTCTCCTATTCCTACAATAATAAACACTTTTTGCAATCGTTTGGAAATAGTAGATCAGCCGAGAAGATAGGTTCATGAATGCGTTGGAAGAGAAGAGAATGGTTAATGTGAAGCTTTTTGTCGAAACAAGTGTCGTGTGTTTTCTCATGTTTGCGTGTTCGTCCGGATCGTCTTTTTTCTGAGGAAACCGTAACCCCCTGCCCCCAATTTCTCCTTGCTCAGGCCGTTTTTATTTTCCGGTGAACACCGAACATGGAGTGTGAGGTCACCTATTCTAAAATTTTAGCCTCGTTGAATTGGGTTATGCCTCTGCAGATCAGTGCAGCTAGGCCAACTGCACAAAAACCTTTGAGATCTGAGAAGTAAACGCTCGAGTGTATTAGAGTGCTGAAATCTGCCAAACAAATTTTGTTCCGTTGATTCACTAGTAACCTGTGTCCAACTGCATTACCAGTGGTGATTTTTCTGGTCTTCAATCGCTCCTTTTTGTCAGCCTGTGAAGAATGCTAGGGCTGACGATAATACTGTATATGACGCTCTGATGTCTGTGTGCGTTTTGCGATCGAGGCTCGTGATCATCGCAAAACATCGGTACATTTGGAAAGCATTTCCACTGTTAGTCCTCTGTCAAATTTCGTGATCCGGAAAGTTCATTTTTTCCGAATAATGGCCGGTTTGCCGATATTACAACCCTGTCAATTCAAAACGACGGCTCATTTTTAATTTATACCTTGAACTGAGGTTTGCTTTGAAAAGAATAATAACATACTGCACACTCGCCTTACCTTTAGTTTCCTAGGTGGAGTGATCGAGTTTACCCGGATACACTGTCACCAATTGAGAATATTCGACGGCTATTTATAGTCAACTTTGTTTATGTGTAGCCTAATTAGTTAGGCAAATCGTCTTGAAACTGTTTTAATTTTCGTAAAACAGTCTCTGCAAGAGCCATGACCATGGACGATTAAGCACTTATTGATGTAAAAATTTTCATTCATCGCATAACCTACATCGCTGAAGACAGTAAGTCTTCCTCTGTTTATATGTGTCACCCTCACGATAGCAGAATCCTTCGCAATTTTTCCACGCATCTGAAAAGTAGTCAGGGATTCCCTTTCAGTGAACTTGTTTCAAGGCCCTTTTACTCTGGACGGTACTTGCTCTTGTTTCGCTCTTGGACAACATTGGTAGTAGAAGCAACAGTGGTGGTAGTAGGCCGAATGGTGCTACGGGTTGTTGGTTTTATTGTAGTTGGTCGAGGCTCGTTCTCCGAAGCTAAAACCGTTCAATTTAGCTTTCTCTAAACTAGACACAGTACACCATGGCATAACCATGTCGGTTCGCAAAACCGTGATATATAGGCCTCATTCCATGTTATTATTGGAGCCCGATTAGTATAAGAACGCAGTTTTGTCCCTGCAACGCTAGGAGAACAGAACCTACTCAGGAGATCAAAAGGCAGATGTTGGAGTGATATTAGTTCACAATGCTTATATTTTACAAAACCGATACCTATAACCAGCGTGCTGCTAATTTCTGTTTGTCTTGATTTCTTCACCAGCGTTTGGTTTGTCTTGATTTCTTCACCAGCGTTTGAACAGCCGTCAAGGGCATGGTGATCGAAAAAGCTCACAAACTCTATTTCGATTCTAGTACTTTTTCGGTATTCTCAGGAGACTGAATATCAGACAGCTATGATAGCTTGGATTATCACCATTTTCGAAGTTTACAGGATTCGCGCAGCACACTTGAATGCAATAGTAGCACGTTGCGTAGTTTTCGTGAGATTCGGCATGGTCCCCCAGTAAATGTTTGAAATTTTTTTCATTCTGTCGGAGCATCAAATGCTTGCCTACATCCTTCTATTAATTTTCCGCTTCCGTCGGATAAGAAATTCTCCAGGACAGATCCACTGTGAGCATTTGAGTGGATGAAGATATCCACCGTCTTGACATCTCACTTTTTCATTTCCCTATTGTCACACAACTCTGGAAGCAATAGCAGTAAACAAATTTCAAAGATGTGATGCTGAATGCGGGGGCCCGCCTTGGAAGGGGAGACTGGAAAAGGTCAAGCATTTCAATATCATTAGTTCGAAGACTGTAAGTTTTCGTAGTAAACACCAGCAAAGCCAAAGGCGGCACGCTCCCAATTAACCCTCTGAAGACAGCGCCCTTTTTGCGTGTCTGGCCCGCGGGACAGACGCATTCCGAAGCGTTCCGGCTCACCGCTGAGCAGCGCTGTCCCACGATTCATACATTTTTCTATTTCTATCTTACATCGTGAACGCCTTTTGCTTTTTTCAAGCGTTTCATGATGATTTGGTTTGAAATATGTGTAGATCAGGAAATTATGAGTTTTCAACTTCAGTTAAGTCTGACTTTATGCATAATATAGCCTGGGAGTCGAAATGGACAGTGGAAGTGACGATTTGGAAGGTGGTTTTCAAAGACTATTTGTTGTACCGGAAGAAAATAAAACCGGTGAGTAAAACTTTCAATGCTCTGGAGATGTTACACATATGGGGCTGAGATTCACTTAAGATTCAGATTTAAGATTAACTTCGGTAGACAGCCCACAGCAAGGATTCAGCAGCTGTACTTGCTATGGTCGTGACTAATGGACGGATTCTCGATTCAAGTAATGCATCTCTATACCGATAACTATAGAATGATTTATTGACTAGAGTGAGAATAGAATGACTTACATAGCACCCACTTGTCCGACACTCGAAAAGGCGAAAAGGAATACAGATAAAAGTTGAGGATAGGTCAAATGTGGGCAAGTGGGCGTTTACTGATTATATCTCTTGGATACGTCAAGTGAACAGCGGAGTGGCGGCCATCGCGATGGTCATGCTTCTTCACAAAGAGAATGCTATGCTTCTAGCCCTCTAGCGAAGACAATGCACAAGACTAGGTTCGCAACGTCGGAGACGTCACTGGCGCCCTTCGAAGGAAATTCATCCATAATGAAACCGACGACGGGCTTCGGGCTAGGTGATTCTGCATCAAGTTCAAATGTCAAATTGAACTGAACAAATGTCACTTCGATTGTGCTACATCCGTGCTATATACATACATATAAATATATTAGGTTGGAAAGAAAGTCCTGCGATAAAAAAATTGAAGCGTCGAAAATTTGTAAGGAGTGAGAATGCTGTGACTCAAAAAATTGGCTGCTGTTTTCAAATAACATTAGGTTACGAATTTTTTTGCATAACGGGATGCTCAAAAAGGCGGAGCACATGGTAAGTGAAATCGGGAACACTCCGTGAGTACGACTAATGAACAGCCTGGAACCAAGCATAAAAGGGATCATAGGAGTAAGCGAAAGCTGTGTCCGTCTAGTCTGCGTTTAGCAACTCATAGTGGATGGATTCCTTCAACCTCCATTAAATTAAGGGACGATGCTTGCGTTATTCCGAACGCTAGTATCTTCTGCAGTGAAGCGATCCAACCGATTATTGACCGTTGATCGGTGAGCAGTGCTAGCATTGAATAGATTGCTGATAATTTGAGCCCGCGTTTCTCCCTCGGCGTGCTTAGAAAAAGGTAATCGAATCAGGTGTTGTCCATTCATTGACCGTAATGCTGCGAAAGCTCACACCCGTGTGTTGATTGTTGTGATTGTATGCTTTATTTACTCATGTGTTGATTGCCGTGGAATTTGACACATCAAGCCACTTGTTTTTCACGAAAACTTAAATAAAGATTCCTTCCGATATTTTAATTTGGTCATAATCAATGTGGATGGTCTCCCCAATAGTTATAGATCTTCGAAGTTGATTTCAACTGGTATAAATTTTGCTCTGTACGCTCTGATAGAGCGTTGCTTCTGTGTAGATCAGACATTTTTCCTTAGTTTGAGGCATACTCTTGCCTGGCCGTTGGAAGAAAAGCATTAGGTGTCGGGACTGTCTCGGAAGGTCCTGGGACGGGAACATTGAGAAGAAATGCTTATTTACTCAGAAATTATATGATCACTTAAGGTTGTGCTGAAGCTTTCTAAACCGGTTAAATGGCCGATTAACTCACTGCATCGAGAATCACTACAAACTTTCCGAATTATTCGAAAATAATGTAATTAAATCTTTCACAAAAAAAACTTTAGAACTAACAAAAATGATGTTCCACACGGGACTAGACGCAGTAGTGCGAACAATCATAACTTGACGACTTCCCGCTTCTGCTACAATGCCTTCATAGAGTGAGAAATTCTTGTCCACGAGCATCTTTTTTCAGGCTTTCATTCTTCGAGCACAACATACACAGGTTTTACATCATGATCACACGTTGATGCTGACCGTTGATAGAATTAAATACAAACAGAGCATGGGAACACCCATGACATCAAATAAGCCACGACCAGAATTAGCACAGTCGTCTTTTCCATTGTTGTGGGGGATGATAAGGAAGTAGTAGGTGATACGGAACTAGTAGTCGGAAAAGTTACCGGTGGTGAGGGTTGGGTTATCGATGAGCTTCCTTGTGAAATCGGGAGTGTTATTGAAGTGCTTCTTGGTGGAGTTGGCGGTGTAGTTGACACTGTGTTTGGTGTTTGCGAAGTAACCGATAGTGGCGTGGTTGACGGTAGCGTGGGTACTGTCCCTGAACTTGTAGACAGCGCTTCGGGAATCGTAATAGTGGTTGTTGTAGTCGTTGAAGGAAAAGTCGTCATAGTTGCCGAAGAAACAGCTCTGGAAGTTGTATGTGAATAGGATGAGGCTGTTGTATTCACAGTCGTTGGAGGAAAAGTCGTCATAGTTGCCGAAGAAACAGCTCTGGAAGTTGTATGTGAGTAGGATGAGGTTGTTGCATTCACAGTCGTTGAAGGAAAAGTCGTCATAGTTGCCGAAGAAACAGCTCTGGAAGTTGTATGTGAATAGGATGAGGCTGTTGTATTCACAGTCGTTGGAGGAAAAGTCGTCAGAGTTGCCGGAGAAAGAGCTCCCGAAGTTGTATGTGAATAGGATGAGGTTGTTGTATTCACCCACGGTGGAGAAGGAGTCATTGTAGAAATGGAAGATGATGATAGTGGCATCGTTGGTATTGATTGTGGTGAACTCGTAGACGAACTTGCAGTTGCTGTTTCTATAAAAGCTGTACTTATATTTGTCTACAACGCTAGTAAATGTCTTGAATCTAACCAAGGAGGGGTAGTCCACTTAATGCGGGACTTTGTATGAAGACCCAGATAAATCGATAGAGTTTTGATTGCTGTTTACGAAAATGGAAATTAAAACTGCAGAATGGTTTTCCTTAAAAAGTGATGAGGGGTCGAATTTTGCTTGACAGTAGTATCAATTGGATATGCGAACTCGTCGCTTCACTCTCAAGCGCCCACATTACCTATTGGTAGTGGTTTCGACCAACAGAAAAATGCTAGAGATGCGTAAGATGCCTGCAAAAACTCAACAATAATGAAAACTTTTTGAAAATGAGTGAAGCACACATGTTGTTCACAAACTGCACGTCTTACACATGCTGATTCCCTTCATCTGGTGACAAAACAGTCAATCGGCTCAAGACGTCTTTTGCAGGCACCTTATACATCTCTAGTACCTTTCTGTTGAATGTTCCTTGAAGTTTAAAACAAAAAAGTCATACAATTAATGTGCAGAACCACTTTCCTTGGATGGGAGTGATAAGAGAAAATAAAAGCAGAATTAAAGGCACTGTTCACGAAAAAATGGTTTCGGAGATTTGC